GATCCATTTTGAGTTTTATATAACAGAAAGGCATAACAGAGTTATGGTTTTATATAACAGAAAGGCATAACTTGCTGTGAATTGTGCTTCTAGTAAATTAACAAAAAGTAACTGCATCAAGATTTCAGTGAACTCTGTGCAAAAAAAAAGTACTCCATTTATTTCCACTTTAAGGGAAATGATACTGGAATCCAGAATAGGCAAGAGTTGTGGTGTGGAAGATGAGATCCTAGAAATGACTTGACTTTCATGATAAAAACATAGTGAAAGAAAAAAGTAGTCTTCCAATTCAACAAAAATAATTATATGTTTTAATGCTGAAGGGTTCAGAGTGAGGCATGTATGGAATTACGAGTAGGCCGTATCAATTTGGTATGATGTTGTTATGGCCATCAGCTATGGGGTTATCCATCCTGAATATTTCCAGGCCTTGAGCCAATGTATTCATTTAAACCAAATACCAACATTACCAGACACCAGTTCTGATTTAATGTAGGAGATATTCCTCTAAGGAAGGTCCCATAATCCTTGCAGGATGACAAAAGGCATAAAGAGAAAAAAAAAAAGGAAAAAGTTTTGAGTTTTTTCCCCCTATAATTGGCACCTAATTGGATAGGACCGGACGTTGTTGATCTGCTGTGTGAATGTTGGGTTCATCCAATTAAACGTGCTCTACCAAGCATCTCAGGTTTGCCAACAATCTCAGGTGCCCAATATTCCTGTCATGGTAGTTTATTCATTCTCCAAAGAGCTACTTCTTTTGGAAAAGCAGACTAAATGTGAGTACAAAGAACACAGTACAGTCAGTAGTTCTTAACCTTGTGTCATGGAACCCTTTTAGAATTTAATTTTTAAAAAACGATGAAAATGCACATACATGTAAAATGTTACAAGTTTTCCGAGAGTTCAAGGGCTCCCTTGATTCATGGATCTCATAGGAGTCCATGGTCCCCTGTTGAGAACCCTCATCCAGAGGTCAGAGAGATTGTATATTAACTGTGGCTTCCCCCCCCACCCCAGATTTTCCTGAACAATGCCATCGCTGGTTCTAGACTTGTTTTTGGACACACACTGATTGAAGAAATCTTTGCTTTTCAGGTATGATCATTTCTAATTGACTCCTAACTAGTCTCTCTGCCTTCAATGAGGCCACTGAGAAGTTTCACATAAGAGAAAAAAAATGTGCTTAGGCATTTGAAGTGTTCTTTATTAATCGAACTCTGTTAAAATCACCCTGTGAATTAGTTAATTTTTTTTAAAAAATAGACTTTAGTTTTTAGAGCAGTTTTAGGTTCACAGCAAAATTGAGCAGAAAGTGCAGGGATTTACCATATTCCCCCTGCCCCATGCCATTCACAGCTGTCTCCACTATCAACATCCCGCCCTAGAGTGGAATGATTGTTACAATCATTGAGCCTCATTGACACATGATCACCCAAAGTCCATAACTTGCACTAGCTTTCCCTCTTAGTGTTGTACATTCTATGGGTTTGACTAGTGTATGATGACATATATCCACCATTATAGTATCATCCAGAGTATGGTCACTGCACTAAAAATCCTCTTTGCTCTACCTGTTGATCCTTCCTTCCACCCTAACCCTTGGCAATCACTGATCTTTTTATTGTCTCCATAATTTTGCCTTTTCCAGAATGTCATGTTGTTGGAATCACAGAGTATGTACCTTTTTCAGATTGCCTTCTGTCACTTAGTAATATGCATGTAAGTTTCCTCCATGTCATTTCATAGCTCATTTCTTTTTTAGCACTGAATAATATTCCATTATCTGGATTTACCACAGTTTATTTATGTATTTACCTACTGAAGGACATTTGATTGCTTCTAACTTTTAGCACTTATGAGTAAAGCTGCTATAAATGTCTGCGTAGAGGTTTTTGTATACACATAAGTTTTCAGCTCTTTTGAGAAAATGACCAAGGAGCATGATTGCTGGATTGTATGGTAAGAGGAAGTGTTAATTAAGTGAATGGGGACTCTTTTCACAAGGGATATGTATTAGTATGTCAGATCACCACAATGTATACTTAAAATATGTTATGATTTTATGTGTTGATTATACCTCAATGTAAAGCTGAAAAAATTTTTAAAGAGTATTTTTAGTTTTGTAAGTAATTGTCAAGCTGTCTTCCAAAGTGGCTGTACCATTTTCAATGTATGAGAGTTCCTGTTGCTCTACATCCTTGTCAGCATTTAGTGTTGTCAATTTTTGGATTTTGGCCACTCTAATAGCTGTGTAGTAATATCTCATTTTGGTTTTAAATTGCATTTCCTTGATGACATATGGTGGGAAGCATCTTTTCATATGCTTAGTTGCCATCTGTATATTTTCTTTGATGATGTGTCTATTAAGGTCTTTGGCCCATTTTTCAATTGGGTTGTTTTCTTACTATTGAGTTTTAAGAGTTCTTTGTATATTTTGAGTAACAGTCATTCATCAGATATGTCTTTTGCAATTATTTTCTCTAAATCTGTGGCTTGTCTTCTCATTCTCTGGACATTGTCTTTCACAGAGCAGAAGTATTTAATTTTAATGAAGTCCAGGTTATCAGTTATCTGTTTCATGGATCATGCCCCTGGTATATCTAAAAAGCTATCACCATACCCAAGATCATCTAGGATTTCATCTGTGCTATCAGATCTCAAAACTTTCTTTTCTGATATTGTTAGCCTTCCACGTGTGCTCTTAACGTTTTTTTTTTTTGAGTCAACATCTGTTCTAGTTACTTATTGTTGCATAACAACCTGTCTTCAAACCTAGCAACATTAAAAACAACAACAGTTTTATTATCCTTCTGAAATTCAGGTAGGGCATGGTGGGGATGTTCTATGTCTGCTCCAGGATATCCAGGGCCTCAGTGGAAGATGCAAATGCTGAGGGGTGGTTTGAAAGGCTGGAGGCTGGAATCACGTGAGGCTCCCTCACTCACACGCGGTACCTGGGCTGGGGTGACATGAAGGCAGGGCTCAGCCGGGGATGTTGACTAGGGCACTTACATGGGGTCTCTCTCTCTGGCTTGGGCTTCTTACAGGGTGGTGGCCATGCTCCAAGAGTAAGCTTTCTGAGAGTGAGTATTCCAGGAGACCCAAGTGGAAGCTGTGTGGCCTTTTATGACCTCACCTCAGAGTCACATAGGATCACTTCACATCATACCCTATTGCAGGGACCAGTAAACTATGGCCTGCCACCTGTCTTTGTAAAGAAAGTGTTACTGAAACATAGCTGTGTCCATTGGTTTACGAATCTTTCCTGGCTGCTTTTGTGCTACCGTGCAGAGTTGAGTAGTTGCAACAGAGACCATCTGGTCTGCAAAGCCTAAAATATTTACTACCTGGCCCTTTACAGAAAAGGTTTGTTGAGTCCTGCTCTACTGATTAAAGCAGTCGCTGAGCTCTCTGTGTGAGGGAGGGAACAGACCCCATTCTTGGAGGGAGGTGTGTCAAAGGAGGTGCAGCCATTTAAAAAATCACCATAGCACCTGTTTGCCTTTTAGATTTTAATCCTTGTTTGGTTTTTAACTTTGTAAGCTATTTATTTATTTATTTTTAATAAGACTGCTTCCTCCCCACCTTTAACAGGGGCACTGGGAATTGAACCCAGGACCTCCTGCACACTGAGCACATGTTCTACCACTGAGCTATACCCCAGAGCCCTTGTAAGTTATTTAAAATTGCTCTTCTAACTATTTGTATGCTAAAGTTCTATTAGAGAAGGTTAAAAAGTGAGAGTCAACAATGTTATTTCATTTTATTCTTTTTAAACTTGCTTGTGTCAGCTCTAGGGGTAAATATTTGGCTGGTAATTCTCTCAAAAAAGCCTAGAAAGATTGACCCTGTGTTCACAGAGTTAATATCAGGGATAAAGAAGACCTTTAGCTCCTAAAGAAGAAAAAGGAAATGGTAAACAATTGTCCAGACAGTTAAGCCTCCCTTAGTCAAGAAGTTTCAGATTTAAAAATCATTAACTACTTATTCATGAAAATTTTTTTTACTTAAATATGCTATATTGGTACCATTTTAATTAAAGCCCAATTTCCTTATCTGTAGAAGGAGGAGGTTGGATAGTCAGTGGCTCTCAACCCAGATTGCATATTAAAATCATGGGGAGCCCAGGTGCCCATCCTGGATAATTAGATCAGAATGTCTGCAGGTGGGGCTCACATAGGTTTTTTGGGGGGAGAGGTAATTAGGGTTATTTATTCATCTATTTTTATTGGGGGTACTGGAGATTGAACCCAGGACCTCATGCATGATAGGCACACTCTCTTCCAGTGAGCTATACCCTCCCCCACTCCCATAGGTTTTAAAATCTCCTCAGGCGATTTTAATTTACAGCCAGGGCAGAGAAATGTGCCATTAGGTGATTGTAGGCTCCTTTACAGATGGTAAAATTCTCTTGCTGTGTGATCGTAAAGGAGATATGAAAATGGAAAGTTTTCCCCGTATATTTTTGCTAATGCTACTGAAAAAAATTATTTGGAATGAAAGTTGTACTTTTTAATATGATAACCAGCATAATTTCAACATTTCACGGTCATTTGGACTAACTGATTTCAGCATGAACCTAAGCCAGATATTTTGATTTTCACATGTCTTTAGACTTGCTGATTATCTTTGTCATTTCACACTATTCACTTACTGAAGCAGACCTTCTTGTCTGTTTGCTAATGAACATGCTGGTGTGACACCCGTTTTCGCAATGATATTGACACACGTCTGCAAATAGGTACTCACATGCTGTTTCTCAAGCTAAAGTGTACATGTGAAACACTTGGGGAATCTTGTTAAAATGTAGATCCTGATTCAATAAGTCTGGAGTGAGAATATAGCTTAAGAATCTGCATTTCTAACAAGTCCCCGAATGACGGCCGTGCTGGCCATCCATCATCGTGCATTCCACCTCCAGGAGCACGATATTGCCACAGCCATCCAGACTGGCCAGTGTAACTCAGAACTGCAAGTTCGGTCTCACTGACTGAGAAAAAGAATGGGGTCACAGGAAAAAGGGGAATGCTAGAGTCATTTTAAAATTTACTATACAGAGAGCATCATCGCACCTCTTCTTTTTTTTTTTTTTTTAAAGAAATAACCCACTGAGAAAACCAAAGAACTCTGTTGCTGGATCTTCCCACAGGTTTTACCAATAGTTATTTCCTTAGCTGTGTGATATCTGCCCTCTATAAAGAACCCTCGTGCATTGGCTCATCTTGAAGGTAAATTCAGTGGCTGAGAGCTGATTTGGTTAGAGACAGTAAGGTCTATGTGGTGGCAGTACTTTGGACTGGGTGTTAGACCTTGGATCCTGTCTTTATCACCTCTTGATCTCGTGACCTTGAACAGGTCGATTAATCTCACTGAGCTTCAATCTAGGCTGATAATCCGTGTCTACCATACACCACGTTAAGAAGAGCAAATAAGATTGTTGTGAAAGTGCTTTGTAAATTACCAAGTGACACATATATTTTATTAGTACTCTATACTATTCTTTTTCATTTAACTGAGGTGTAATTCACATGTAACATTATTAGTTTGAGGTGTGCAAAGTAATGATTATATATCCGTATTCATTGCAAAGTTATCACAGTAAGTCCAGTTAACATCCGTCACCATACGTAATTACAGAATTTTTTTTCTTGGGGTGAGAACTTTTAAAATCTACTTTTTCAGCATTTTTTAAATATGCAGTTCAGTATTATTAACTGTAATCACCATGCTGTGCATTATTACATCCCATGACATTTATTTGATGACTAGAGGTTTGTACCTTCTTATTCCCTTTATCCATTTCACCTCCCACCCTCACCCCAGTCACTCTGGATACCACCAGTCTGTCCTCTGTATCTTCCATAGGGTATTCTTGACTCTAGACTCACATCCAAGAACACACTGTCTTTTGATGCTGTTAACTTTCAACTCTCTTTAATAGCAGGAGCATTAACAAGAATTAGATGATAAATAAAGCACCTGGAGTCTTTCTTGGTCTTCTGGGTCCAGAGAATAAACAGCTGGAGTTTTAAGAG